GTGGGACAGAGTAGAGGAAATGTTGTCGAAGCTGTGTCGGTGGATGGAGGCCGATTGCGATTGTTGGAATTCGGCAACCTGGTCGAATCCGGCACCAGCAACGGTAGCCGACAGGAAGCAGACAAATCGCGATCCAGATCCGCAGATCGATTGCGATCAAGCACCGAAGAACCTTCTGGAGGTTCAAGAGGTGAATCCGCAGCCGAAAGAGGAAGGCGATGCGCAGCAACAGGAGCGATTCATCGGAAAAGGCAGTTCCCACCTCAAGGTGATGCCGATCGCGTTCGTCGACCGCGTACAGGCTAATCACGACCAGAACATGCCGATCGAGGACTTGCCGACCGATCGAAACAAAGTCCCAAAGGATCCAACAGCTGCGGGCCCGAAATGACCCACCACAATGTCATATATTGAATTTTCAACTCGGCTACCACCTCTTATCCCCTGTGCATTACTTACCTGTATAAAGTGTACACAAAAGGAAACAACGTAATGCAGATTACAGAAATGGTAAAAAAACAGCAAGTACAGATTGCTGCAAACATGAATTAGAAAGAAGATAACGTTCATAACTGCTATCCACAATCATAATACTTGTCATGATGACAGCAAAAACAACTACAACAAGAATGACTGCAAATGCAAATACAATGCGACCTGCACCATACCGTCCTTCTTTGATTCCTTATACACAATGGTAATACAAAACATTAGAAAACAGCAAGAGGTAAACACCGTAGGTTGAAATAAGCATTGACACGATACGGCAAACAACGTAAAGACGATTAGAATTTTTTATATTGTTTTCAGAGGTAGCACAACTCTGTTTTAATCTTGAGCTTTAAAAAAGCTACTGCTGCGACCATCACAATTTGTCAAAGTGAGATCTTGGCAAGCGTCTGATAGATGTATGGGTTAGGTAGATTCATTGAATCTGGACTATAGTTAGTATGGGTTGTTTGGGTTGTTACTATTAGTTAGTTAGTAGTCTTGGCTATGAGTAGTTATAAATACAGATTAGATTGGGGGAAAAGGATTTACGGAGAAATTGGAGAAAGGGTTAGGGTTTGTTTGGGGAATGAGAGTTGGGATCCTCTCATAAATCAAGATCATCCAAAGTTGTATTCAGATTTTTGGTGAGGAATAAAGGCTCGATTGGTGCTGGAAAGTATTCAACTTTGGCCCCAGCAGGTCTCTTGCAGCCATTACCGATTCCAGAACACATTTGGGAGGACATTTCAATGGATTTCATTGAAGGCTTACCAAGATCAGCAGGTTATAATGTAGTGCTGGTAGTAGTTGACAGATTGAGCAAATATGCTCATTTCATAGCCTTAAAACATCCATTTACTGCTATGGTGGTTGCTAAGGTTTTTGTACAGGAGGTAGTCAGGCTACATGGATTTCCAAAATCCATAGTATCAGACAGAGACAAGATATTCCTCAGCAATTTTTGGTCGGAATTATTTCGGATAGCAGGTACCAAATTAAAGTTTAGTACAGCCTATCATCCACAAACATATGGGCAAACAGAGGTATTAAACAGATGCTTGGAGACATATTTGAGGTGTTATGCTAATGATCATCCCAGGAAATGGATTCAATTTCTGGGTTGGGCAGAGTTTTGGTACAACACTTCTTTCCACACAGCATTACAGTCCACACCATTTCAGATTGTGTATGGAAGAGAGCCACCTACATTACTGAAGTACGAAGAGGGATCCACTTCGAATTTTGAATTGGAAAAAGCACTAAGGGAAAGGGATAGAATGATATTGGAGATTAAGCAGAAACTTCAAGTAGCTCAACAAAGAATGAAAGTATCAGCTGATAAAGGAAGACGAGATCTGACATTGGCAGTAGGGGAGTGGGTTTATTTGAAAATCAGGCCTTACAGACAGAACACCCTGGCAGCAAGGAGTAATCAGAAGCTAGCTGCTCGATATTATGGTCCTTTTCAAATAGAAAGCAGGATGGGAGAGGTAGCATATAAACTAAAGTTACCAAAGGGTTCTAACATTCATCCTGTGTTTCATATTTCACAGCTTAAAAAGGCTTTGGGAGTTAACCTTCAACCAAATCAACTACCAAAGCAGTTAACAAGAGACTTGGAACTACAAGTTCAGCCAAAAGACATCAAGGATTCCAGGTATACTAAGGAGGGATGGTTGGAAGTTTTGGTTGAATGGCAGGACTTACCAGAACATGAGAGTACATGGGAAGTGGCTGAAGATTTCAACAAGCAATTCCCTAGTTTTCAGCTTGAGGACAAGCTGAGACAGAAAGGGGGGAGTATTGATAAGTACTTCAGGGTTTACGTCAGAGGCAGGAAGAGAGGAAAAGAAGCAGTAAATGGTGAAGATCAAGAAGGAGGAGCTGAAGAAGTGGCTGAAGAAGGAGCTGGAGGGACAGAAGAGGAGAGCTGAAGTCAGAAGGAACATCTGAGGATAAAAAGGTACGCTGCTTTTAGATTTGTTTGTTTGAGTATAAGGATAGTATGTACTGTTTGTGTTTGTTGCAGAGTTAGTTAGTAGTTGTGAATAAACAGCTGTATTGTCTGTTACAGTTAGGAATGTGGTTAGCTGTTAGTAATTCTGTTAGGATGGGATTGTATAAATAGAGTAGTGGAGGGATTGAAGGGTTTTAGGCAATTTCTAGTACAGAATTGTAAGGGGAAGAGAGTGGGGACCTCTCTCTAATCAAAGTCATCCATTGTGTACCTGTTTTGGTGATCAATAAAGCTGGGCAGTTCCTCTCCAGCTGAGGAATCCGAGGTCTGGAACGTAACAGCGTCCTACAGAACACTCTGTCACTTTAAATGAGATCTCGATTGTTTAGTCAGGAAACATAGCAAGAAAAACGAAACTCAAAAGGCCACCAAAATTAGTAAGAACTTCCTATACAAGAAAATCTTTCCCTTTCTTACGAGAATATGTATTCTTACGATTTACAATGTCATCCTCATCACCATGGATACCTTTCTCTACGTTTGTCTTTGGAAAATTCGCCAATCCTCGAACCTAATACAAATGCAAACCAAAAACAATCACGCATAAGCAACCAGATACATGCAAACTAACACAATCACGTATAAGCAACCAGATACAACCAAGTGGACATGAACAACAAAGAGAATCAACCATAGGATAGATTCAAGATTGAAAACTCCCCCCTGTATTGCTGCGAGGCTTCTAAGTTGTGATCCTTTGACATCAGAACAAGTTGTTCTGGTCCAATTCAAAATTCACCATTAGGGGTTTGTAGGAGCTGTTTGTTTTCCCCTGTAGATATCAGTTTCCACTTTTCAAGACCAAAACATCACATGGAAGAAACACATACATGTGCTGAAAAAGATTTAAAGCATTACACTTACAATTTAAAAGAAAACATCAAGACTATAGTCTGTAGGAAAATCTGTACATGACAAGGATCTGAACCT